TTTAAAACTGTTACAGATGGGTGAACAGGAGAAGCTTATTGCGCTGATGCTCTTTTCTCATCTGCTCTCTCTCTCTTTCTCTCTCTCTCCCTCAGTCCTCAGTCCTCCAGCCACTGACCTAATGGGTTGTCATGTGTGAAATTGCATCTGCTCTGTATCACATGTGTGTGTGTTCATGCCCCCGCACTCCCCCAGGCACATATGGATGCACTGACACGTCTGCTTTTCTACACATCGACCTCCACACTGTTCTCTCTTTCTGCACCTTCCTCTTCCAGTCCCCCCATTCTGCTCTTTTTTTCCAGCGTTTCAACATCTGTGGTAGTAGTATGAGTTTCATCATAACAATTATACCAGTACGCCACAAATAAGCAAAACATAACGTACAAACAGTGCAAACCACTTTAACGTAAGCCCTTTTAGCTGAGCGTCTGAGTCAGGGATGTTTCAGTCATGCCTCGAATGAAAATGAAAATGAGGCAGAACCTCCATCACCTCCTGCTGTCTAGTCTGTTGCATCTGAAGTAGTCTGCTTTGTTTTCGAGACAGTGGACATAAAGGAACGTCAGTTTTTTGAGCTTAGCCTTAACCTGACATGGACACCAGAACGATGGATAAGCCACGAATAAGCTTCCAAATTCCAGTGTCTGATGCTTGAGTTTATAGAATACATACATGAAACAAATGATTTGAGAAATTGAAGCTGAAGCTGAGGTTGGCTTCTTATTCGAGTTTCCCATTCCACCTTAAATGGAATGTACAGCAGTTACATTCAGACGCCTGTACAGATGCCACAATGTAATTGCTGCTCCATTTAAGGTGGAACTGAACAAAAAGCTGCCAAAGAAGCCAACTTCACCTTGGTAGAAATTCATGTGTGAAACAACATTTAGCGCTGTTTTTGCCAGGCCTGTAAGGCTCATGTTAGAAAGCACTACTGACTTACGTTTATCTGTATGTTTAGTTTTGTTTTTTACTATTTTGCACTATAAAAATATTTCAGATTCACTTTGATTGTTAAAAATGAATCTTATTTAAATGTAAAGGAACGTCCCATAATAATAAACCACCGTTAATCAACAGTAGCTTAAGTATCTAAAATGGATTTATTTGAAAAGATGTGTCGTGATAGTTCACAGTCATCATTTCAACACTGCAGTATTTCTGTTGCAATGTTAGCGGTTCCACTGTTTTTCTGGGCAATGATCTCAGGGCGTGTCTAACTTCATCTACATCTACAACTGTCTTGGTAATTGATGGTCTGCTATACAGTATACCTTGCATCTTTGATTTTCTGTCGATCTGTTATGATTTGTCTAATGACATCTCTCAGTATAACCACTCAAGGCTGAAACGTATTTTTGATATCCCATATCTTCTGGAAAACTGTCCTTTTTTCTATGTTTCTTTGAGAGATGTTGTTGCAGCCTAGGCTGCAGTGCAGGTTCTCCGTAAGACTGTCCCTATTAAGACACCTTCTTTGTAGCCTATTGGTCACACAAAGGGAACAGTCCTAACGAGGCTGCATGGTGACGTCGCCAGAGCGGCGCGAAACTCGTGAGGGAACTGGTGAGAGAAAATGGAACTCGTTGCATTGTGTTTGTTGCTCTTTCATTTCTTCACAGAAATGGAGGAGATGTTCTCATGAATTGCGATAAACTACATACATACATATATACATGATATATGGACGAACGCTTTAATTAATCAGTGATTTTACACTGTATAACGTAACGAAGACAAATTCAAGGATGTGAAGAACTGACATTTTAAAACAAGCTCTGGTCCAACGGCTTTATTTTGCTGCCTTTTCTGTGGTGCTGTTTTTTTTTTCCTACACATTGATCTGATAGGTTACGCGCAAGAACTGTGGGTAACCAAAGGCTTGGAAGGATACATCTGATGCGTCCTTGAAATCACTCCAAATGTAGGCTGCATTTTCTTTGGAACGGCCTGCTATGACGTACGTATGACCTACCTCGGCTGTAGCCTAGGCTTTCAACGCAGCTACTGTTCAGTTCTCTTAGAAGATCTTAATCATTCTTGATTTTGGCTTTTCTGCTCTTTTTTTGCAATTTTCAGTGGCCATCCACTTTGACATCTTTCTCCCTTTTGATGTCCGTAAGTTTTTCTTCGATTCTTTTTTTGATGACCATCAGTTAAGTCCAGCACGTGAAGTAGGTTCCTCATGTCTTCTTTGAAGACATTTGGTTTGTTCTCCAGGTCATATTTTGGAAGTCTGATGGTCTTATGTTCCACAATCAGCTCCAGACCATGTCCTTGTAATGAAAATGGAGCTCTTCCATCTCTTGGTGCACAGAATAGAATCTGTTTGTCTGCATCTGGTGACGTCCGGATGTACAGATGTCACTGTGGTTGCTTGAAGAGTGGACATTTAGGCATATATTGGCTGTACTTCCTCACACAAGGCACCAATTATGTAAGCGCTAAACATTTTATATATCATTTACTGCAAAGTAACAAATAAAATATACTCAACTGTATTAAAGACATTCTGAAAAGCTATGTGTCCCCAAAAGTTTGATAAGTAATCCTTGTTAGCATGGTTTAATGTTAGCGTTCACTACCTCACATCTCTCAGCCTCAGACTAAAATGTTCACTCTCTAGGATCCTGACAAAACACCACACTTCCACCACGGGTTGCAGGTCCACAGGAGCCGTTAGCCTTCATTACTTGCAATTAAACTTCTCCCTTACCTCTTTTCTGAGTTTTAAAGCAGCCCGTACTGCGTTCCTCGCTATTTCCATAATGCATTAAAAACACCACTTACTCGTGAAAGAGTGGCAATTAGGCAGCATCTGCCTTTTTGAAATGGAAAGCAAGCTTGATTTACACGGGTAATAGTTCTACAAACCATATGAACCAGTGCTAACAAAAGGTCAGGATTAGCATTCAGCATTAGGGAGTGGAACGAAAGAGTGTGAAAGAAAAAAAAAAAAGAATTAAGGAATGGTGCAAGACTGTGGCACTAATATGCATTCCACTGAATATTTATGATGCTAAAACACATCCAATTAACTATTTAAATTATTAATATTAATGGGGTCATACATATGCATGTGGGCTTTTGTTGCCTTTTGTTGGGCTCCATAGGTAAAAACCAGGATCAGGAAACGTGCTTTATGTGCCAGGAAAAGCTTGGAGTTCTCCCACAAGCTCTCTCTTTCCCTTTGGAAATAACATAATCCTTTGACGTGCCTTCATTGCCCAGTAATGAGCTGGAAAAGTCAGATCATGGTTGGAGATAAAGATTTTCCACTCAGAATCCGCAGAAATAAGCGACACACAAATATGCCACGGCTGCTGCAGATAAGCTGACGAACAATAGGACAAAATGAAAAGGGGATGAAAAAATGTGAAAGAAACAGGTGCGCATAAACAATTCAAACGACAGATAATACAGCATGTGCATTGTAATTTGGAGCTGAAAGGCTTGCTTCTTAACGTCTGAGTTGGAAATTCTTAGTGTTCTAGTTGTCTCTTCTGACTAGACTGAAGTTAACGGACATATGACGAAACAGCCCAGTCTTCTGCAAGGCCAAACACATCAGCCAGCACAGCAGACCTTTAACCACACTGCCTTGTGTCCAGCAGACCTGAACAAATGCGCTCGGAAAAAGACAGCCTGTTTCGCAAGGACACAATGCTTGCGCTTGCTGAAGACGTGGTAATAATACACAGGCGCTGGCAATGTGCCTTCAGCTTTGTTTCCTCACGCAGTTCTATATGTACCATACGTGGTTGCGCTGATTAATCACTACATTCACTGTATCAGCTAAGCCAAATGTATGATATAAGCACCACATAGACAAAAACAATACACATTTATATTAAATGCAATTATTTTAAACTATAATTGACTAATTTGGAGAATCATAGATACATATACTACTGTGTAAAAATCAGAGACCAGTAAATTTCCAGTCAAAACAGCCATTAAGTCCACATTATCTATTTTTCAGGAGATATTTCTGAGGAGGTAAGATATGACAACTGAAAATAAGTGAAAAAAATGAGTGAAAACGAATGAGTTCATAAAGTTATTGAAAGATACAGAAAAAATGGGCTTCCTAACGACCACCTGGAAGACCTGCTAGACCAGGGGAACTGTCACCATCAGACAAACAGCACTTAAAGCTTTCATCTTTGAGAGATAGAAGAAAATTGAGCTCCATATGAACCAAGAATAGTCTTAATTCATTTGTATATGACCACTTTTTACTGTCAAACAGGCTGTTATGTGTAAATGACCTTAGTTCTGATTGTCCTGTATTGTGTCTCATTATAAAAATAGTCTGGGCTCAAATGCTCCTTACAACTTCAAGGTGCATGGGCGGGGCTTAAACCTTTCATCTTTGAGCTCCACTCTTGCTTCAGATCGTAAACGAATTCAAAGGTGTTTCTGTCCATCCTTCCACTGTGAGAACACAATTCAATACTATGGGTCTGAAAGGAGGAGTAGCTTCCCAAAAGCCGTTACTGAGAAAAAGTAATAGGAAAAATTAAGAATTTTTGCAAATCAAACAAAGAAGCTTCTAGTTTTCAGGATAATGGACTGGGCACCCCAGAGTCCAGACCCTAACATCACTGAATATGTAATTACTTTGATTGTGAGAAGCAGAAAATGCAACCAACTTCTAAGACTGTACTTTGGAGATGTGAAAAAAGGGTCCTGCAAAAAGTCTCTCAAAATGAACGAAAGCTGTTAAGCTTGTTGTGGGCTTTACACATCTGTGTAATTTTCTGTCAAATATATTTTCTTTTCAGCCACTGAAAAGTGAATAACTTGCACTTAATGGCTATTTTTACTGGAAATGAATAAACGAAAGGTGGTCACTGACTTTTGCACAATAATCTAGTTTTATAGTGCCAACTACAATCGAACAGCCAAGACATGTTTGGTGCTAAAAACCTACTTTAGTTTTACTTTAGTTGCTATGTCATGTACCGTGCCTACACATGATTTCAGTCACTCACATCTGGTGACGACTCCCTCTAGCCGGATGATGTTGGGGTGGTCAAACTGGCCCATGATGCTGGCCTCGCTCAGGAAGTCCCGCCTCTGTTTCTCCGAGTAGCCCGCTTTCAGGCTCTTGATGGCTACGTAGATCTCCCGTTTGCTGGGCAGCTTCAGGCGGCCGCTGCACACCTCTCCAAACTCTCCTGAGGAATACAGACAGATTATGGTAAGGTCAGGTTATGTTAATTCACCCAATTACTTAAGGTTCCTGGAAATGTAGGGACTATGTACACATAAGCTGTGGCTCACATTCAGAGCCACTGTTTAATTTCAAATTGTTGTGTCGGTATAGATAGACTAAACAACAAAAAAGCCACTGTCGGAGTAAGCTGAGTGAGATCTAGTAGGCTGAGTGAAGGGAGCTGTTCAGTGCTGATCTCCAACAGCGAGCCAGGAGGCAAAACAAGCTCAATATTTCACAAAGCAGAGTCGGGCTTTTGTGTGTGAAGATAAGAGGATACAGACACTGTGTAATTAAAAACTCTTCGGCATACATTAGTAGTCTAATGACTACATTTGTTAAGAGTTTTGAAAAGGAGCTTCAGTTCTGAGAGAAAGTCCTTGAGAGTGCTGCAGTAGCACAGATAATCTTTTAAAATGACTTGCCCAGGTTAACAAGACAATACAAATATTGTAACACATACATTATCAGCCTCTTCGAACTGAATAAGTTGAAAGCTCTTGTCAACAGGAGCAGCCAAAGCAGCAGAGCAGCTCTTTTACCAACAGACAAAACAGAAAACATACTAATTATATGTTTTAGCACAGACACGGTTCCTATTCAAAAGTCATCGCTGTTAGTGCTGCGAGCCCATATCCTACATTTTTCTTGTATATTGAGGTCCACTTATGACATTTGCGATGGTTTATGAACCAAAAATAGTTATAATTCATGTGTATATGACCACTTTCTAACGTCTCCTTACCCCTTTAAATTAAACAGGCTCTTTGTGTTACTGTGCCATTAAACCTGCTTTGTGTAAATGACCTTGGTTCTGATTGTCTGTCCCGTATTGTGTCTCGTTATAAAAACTGTCCAGGCTGAAACAATGCTTATAACTTCAAGGTGAATGGGCAGGGGTAAACTGCTTTAGGAAGGCTGTTTACCTTAATTTCTATAAACGAACCATATTAACTGGAGTTTGAATGGTATATTTTGAGACATTAAAATAAAAGAAAATGAGGAAATAATTTTTTTCCTTGAGAGGGACCCTACAAAGATTGCAGCAATTCCTTACTGAGTGCTTTTACATGCACTTAATAATTGATAACTGCAGAAGATTTTGTCAGTAATCCGATCAACGTGTTTACATGTACTTGAGTAATCAGATAATGGGAAACTTTGAGTCTATATGAGTCACACAGTAATCAGATTTCTGCTTTGAAACCCATCAATAAACTTGCAGAGGAAGACATGATGTAAACGTGAAGTAAAACTCAAACTTGTTGCGCCTTTTTTTTTAAAACATTGAGTCACTTTAGCTGAAAATATGAACATACATCAAAATATTGAAATGCTTCATTTCATCAAGCATGTATTTGGTTTCAGTGTCCCTCCAAAAGTGTTTTGCTGCGTCTCGCGGGCAACACTGCTTACTTTTTCCGTTACTGCGGTCTGTTACCGTACATGCGCAGACTGAGAAATCCGAAAGAAATCAGAGTAAGAGTTCACATGCACAGAGAAATCTGATTACTGAGCTAAAATCCAGCTCTCTTTATCGGATTTCTTAATCAGATTTCTAGATCTTACTCTGATCTAAGAAATCTGAGTGTGCTGTTTCCATGACCATTTGAATAATCAGATAACTGCAGAAATCCGATTATGATCGGAGTATATTTAAACACACTCATTGAGAAAAACCAGGCATGAAATCCATCAGTTAGTATGTTCTTACTTGCTAAGTGATCCACTGTTGACCATATTATTGGCCCTGGTTCACATGCTGGTCAGTTAAGCCCTATATGCACACGGCAAGCACTATCACCCCTTTGAGCCAGACAGCATGTTTTGTTGTCATTGAATATAACACCTTGTCCTTAAATGTGTTTTTATTAAACATTTAAAGACATAAATGCTTTATCAGCGGCTTTCCTGACAATAAATCCATAGAATTTTAATATGTACTGCTTTCATCATTTAAACAATATCAGTTGGGCCTTGCAGTAAATAGCTGAACATTTCATTTCACTCACCAGCACCAATGACCCTCTCTATGCGGATGCTGGAAGCATCAATTTCCTTGGCGAAATCGCGCACAGCTTGATTGGGGTCCTCATAGGTATGTGGGTGGATGTAGGTCCTGCTTCCCGGCAGTTTGACTGCAATCATAAGGAGAGGCTCTCAATCCTCTGACAGGCACTTTTACCTTTCTATTTATTCTTGGACACACTTGCGTCATAAATGCAAACAGTCTCCTAAAAAAGTGCAGTAAAAACAAAACTCCTCGTTTTCCAGCAAGAGCCTGTTTTTTACGTTTATGCCACCTCTAAACATGACCATTTTCTTGACAAACCATAAAGGGAATGTGTGGCTGAATTGACGTTCATACCTCTTCCATGCTGAAACTGCATTTTCTCTTCGTCTGGGTCTTGCTTGGCTTTGATGTAGCCGCAGTGTCTGCAACACATGAAAGTGGAAAAAGACGTAAAACGTTAGTGATAAAATAAAAATTTTGGAGATGCCTGTTCTGCAGGAGGCTATAAAGCATGATGAGGCTCAAAGAGCTTTTGGTTTTAATGTTCAGGGGCTTTTAGGAGGACTGTAAACCTTTAACCATTTTACATTTGTGTTTGCAAGTAGGAGAGCATATGTGTTGTTATGACTAAAATTGATACGCATACAGTCCACAATCAACTACGAATGCAAAATGCAAAAATCATTTTCATTTACATAACAAAAAAAGTACAAAAAAGCAGGAAGTGCAGAATCAAACTGGGATACAGAATGTAAATCAATATAAATGTAAATATCTGACATAACTAAATGTAGCCAATTGAGCACTGTATTACATAAGCAACTATAATTATGTATTTAAACAGCACAGCAAGACAACAGTAATAGCTTTAGACTTCTATGGCATAAAGCAGAATCCATAGAAGTGTCCTTGTGTTTACATAAGTGGGTACATACTGTGTACATATGCAGGTATTCGTGGGTGTTTGTATTCTTCTGGCTTATTGAAATGAGTAAAAATACTCTGCTTTTCTGGGACTGGTTGCACCAACTGTATGTAAGTTCAAATGTAGGCTAGTTGTAAGGCAAGTGTTTATGAAGTTCAAGTTCATGCATTACAAAAACAAAAAAGTTGCATCACACAAACCACTGGGAACCACACACACAGCGCAAAGTCGACCAAAAATATGACCTGACCTTTTTGGTTAAGTAAGCTAAAAACACTAAATCCTACATGCTGTGATTTTACTTACATCTCTAACCATGAGCCTGGTTTAAACTCCACTTAAACTAAAATTCACCACTCCCATTTAGTGTGATTCAGCAGCTGGCGAAAAGTCTAAACTAATGCAGCTGTTGTGTTGGATGGCCAGAAACTGTTGCCAAAAAGCAGCACATCTTGCTGTTGCAAGGAAATTTAAAAAAAGTAAACAAAAATGGTTATAAATATTCATATAAATATCCACAGCAAATGGCTCCCAGCAAGCTACAGACTCACTGTTTCTACAAATTCAGTACAACAGAAAAGGTGTAGCTCTCTCTTGATTCATGGGTCTTTAGTTCTGAACTAAAAGCCCAACATGCTTGGAGGAGAGCGCCAACTGCTAATTCTGTTACACTGGCTAGCACTGCAACAAGTGATGGGGGCAAGATTGAGGGTCATTCTAACCTCCCAGAGAGATTGAGGCCAGTTACACTCTCTTGGACTCCCAGCCACGGAAGGCTGTAGCGACACTTGGGATCGAACCTGAAGAGACGGCCAAAGCTTAAACCAAATGTTTAAATATGAAAATTTGTTTGAATTCCATGTATGGTGCCACAGTTCTAGTTCTGAGACATTTTCCTCAAATTTTCATAATTTCAACATAAAAAAACAGCATGGTTGCTAAGTGTAGCTGTAAAAGTTTGCACATGACCATTTATGGTATCCAACTGGATACAACTGAACTGGTCTGAGGAATAGAGCAGCATTTTCATTTCAATTTCAATAACTACCATAAACGTTCCATCGTCCACGTTTATTATCTCAGCGATCATGTGTTCATCGTGTTGTGCCCTTCCACGCTTGTCTCTTCATGAGCTTTTACACTTTTGGCAGGCAACAATGTAGATGTAATGAAAGCCTGGCTCAGGGATTCCCACTTCATCTCCGTCCGTCTCCCTCCCTCTATCCTCCTCTCCTTGTCTCTCGTTACTAATCAAAGTGGGAATTATTAATGACAGCTCGTCGGAGGAGAAAGAGTAAAACCCTCTCATTACAATCAAGTGCGAGTGCATTTTTAAATCATCTGCTGATTGTAATTGGCTCGAGGTGAGTTCCAAGGGTTTCTGATCTGGAGAGAGAGGGACTGGCCAAGTGCATGATAGGTGTGGGCGGCGGAGGGGAGAGATGAGCCGGGGGCTTTTGGATGTTAATTTGGCAGTAATGAGGAGAAGGGTGGGGGGTAGAGGACAGCCTTTGCCAGGGTTAGAGAGTGGGCAGGCCAGGGCTAGTTGGCCAGCACTAGCTGAAGGTTGGAGAGCTGAGAGGGGAGAGATGTGTGCATGGCAGCACCACTCCAGTTTGATGCTGATTTTATTTGGCTGAATTAAATGGAGGCTTGAAATCGTGTAAACACTGCTAATTGGCTAGACTGACGGATCCCCTTTTGTGTGTGTGTGTGTGTGTGTGTGTGTAGAGGAGAGTGAGGGTACAGAGAATAATAATTCCTTCCTTCCTTCTGTGTTAGTTGCCTGTTTTTGGGCTGACAAGTCAGTTACTTTCACAGTGGTTACCCAACGATTCACTGTAGTTACTGAATAATACTAAATAAAAGTGACCAGTTCATTTGGAATGTATAAGATGGTGGAACTCTTAACTGTGAGCAGAGACAGAGGCTGTGAATCAAAAGAATGGATAAACTAGCTAATTACCAAGCCACAGGTAAGCTCAAGCATGTTAGCAGAGACATTATAAAGGAGGAGGAGACACTGCTTCACTGCTTGAAAAACAAATGGGAAAGCTCTTGTCTGTTTATAAGGAAAATTCTGCCCGTCAACAAAAACAGCAAATCAGCTTGGTTAAGTTGAAAGCGGTAATAGCCCTCCCTCGTTGTGGATACATGAGCGTGTGCGGTGGCCATAGCAACCTGGAAAAACAAAAAATGCCGTCTGTGCCTTAATAGATTAAAACATTACAAACTATTTGTGTAATTTTGGTCAGATTTCACCAGAAATTACAAAAATGTTTTTAAACATTAATGTGGCTTCTAATTTTAAGGTTATAGGTCCCTCCCAGTCAAAGAGATAGGAGCCTGGTCTTGTATCACTGGAAATAACTGCCCAGGGCTGTTGCCAAGATGGCTGCCAAATGGACAGACTTTCCAATAAAGAATTTGATATTATTAACACTATTAAGACAAACTGCTAGTTATTTGGAGACAAGTAAGTTGACACATGTCAGGGTACACCATGTATATACCAAGCAATTTAGCTAGCTAGCTATTTAGCTTTGTATGTACATGGTGAGCAGCAGCTAGCCAGCTATCCTACTTGGTGCATCCATCAGGAAGCATAGCTTGCTATTTGGCTTGGTATGTGCATGTGAAACATTATTTTCTGTGATGCAAATCTGTTTAACCCCATAAACCTGGCCACGCCAAGCACGCAAAAAAACAAAGACAAACCAGAGAGGTTATGTAATGTGTACGTTTCCCTGTGCTGCAGTAACACTGATTATAAAGCTCAGCAAGCTTTCTGTTTGCTACTGGGTTTTTATTACTGTAAAAAAAATGGATGTGGCATTCATTCCTTTCTGAGTGCACAGTGTTTTGTTCATTCGGAGTGCAGTTTGGACTGGTAAGAGCTTTCTATTGATTTGTTTAATCAGAATAACAATAAAATACGACTGATATGTGTCTTGTATTCCCATTCGTGTTTTTTTGAATTAAAAATGTAAGACTTTTTGCCGTTAGATCATGTTCATTACACACCAAAATAAGCAAAATAGTAGCACTGAAAAATCACATGATAATTGGTAAAGAGCAGATTAAACTGCATCAGCTTGAAGGGGTTTATAGGAGGTATGTATTGTATGTAGGTTTTCTGCCTTGAAGGAACCCCTTTTAAATGTGAATAATAACCACGCAGGTCAAAATTATCTCAATAAAAAATAAATATTTGCAACATATTATTATCTACTCAGCTGACAAAAAACCTGGCTATGGATGGACACTCTTCATCACACGTATGCACACACACACACACACACACACACACACACACACAAACACGCACACACGCACAAATGTATTCGATGTTAAAGAGGAAACATTCAGATTAACGTGTGTGAGTGAGCGAACATTTGCATGCATTTGTGCGTCTGCATGTTTTTCATTGTGGCTGAATACATTTACATAATAATTATAAACTGTCTGATTTCACACTGCTGGTAAACAATGTCATGATTAATTTCATACCCATCTTGGAAATGATAATCTCCGATTCTCTCATGTTAGGGTTTTTTTTCCTCCTCCCTTTCTTGTTCTCCTTCATCCATGAGTGATTTAAATGCATTGTGCAGTGAACATATGCTTAGAGGAATACTCAGAGTTGGACAAACAGAATCTGAGAAAAATAAAGCGGAGAACCAAAGACTTTACACAACACCACAAAGAATCTATTCAAAATACTAGACAAATGTTCTTTTTGATTTTTAATTTTACTCCAATTATGTTCACATTATGTAAACCTGAATTCTAGTCAGTTAAACTGCATTATTCTTTACAGAATCTCGTTATCTTTATGCATACATGAATACACATTACACTTAGCATATTTCATGGAGAGCACAAACAGCTTCTCATTAGGGATGGGGGGGTTTATTGAAATATACAGATACTCAATCCATCTCAGTATCTGTTTACTTAATTGGGTATTTAAATTATTTGTAATTAAAGCATGAAATACATCTTTTATTATCTTGCACTTATTAACATTTTTAGGTTTAGAATTTTTTGACTGGCCATGTGAGGGAGAACTGTAGAGAATGTTGGGAAAGACAGAGCTGATATTTCATCTCACGTTAATCAAAAAATCTAAGCAAAGGTATAAAGGGAAATAATGCAAAGATGCAAAAAAATATTAACTTGTTGGCATTTTCCATTAGATATGATTAACACACCTTTATGCAGAAGCATTACCATCCCTCCTTCACCACAGGCCTGCACTATCATATCATATACTCATGTTTTTATTGTCATCGCAACTTGAGTTTCAGCAATGAACAATGAAGGCAATGAATATATATGTAAATGTTGACTTTGGCTAAAATTCTTTTGCTTTGAGTGGCTCTATACTTTTTTATTTTATCTATTTTATTCAAATAAATGACTGAACATTCCATTTGTAATCATAACACTACCGAAACGTTACCAGATGTTTCAGTAGTGACAATTTTAGCTAAT